ATAGTTTTATTAATGGCATGTCGTAGACAGCGAACCAAATTTATTTTGTCTACGATTGGAGCTGCTGTACGCTCTACTACAGTGACCCGATCAGTGTGGAAGCGAGCGGGGAGTAATGACTGGTGGAATAGAGTCGTTATACGAACATGGGACAATGCAGAGGAGAGGGCGCTTAGTCCTGGGCTAAGCGTTTGCGCACACTCCGTTAGCCCGTGCTAAGGGTCTAGATCGTGTCTTAAATTCAGATTTAACCCGTACTTAGCATTCTTTAGCCCGTGCTAAGCGTTCACGCACGTTTTCTTAGCACGGGCTAAGGAATTTGACCTCTTAGCCTGTGCTAAGGAGCTGTGCGTGAATGCAACTAATGGCATCACCTCATCAATATATATGACAAAGTACACATGCTTTTGATCCTTTATAAATGAAATCAGCCAAGGCTGTCCATAAAGAAGTATACCAATAACGATCAGATCAAAATGGCTGATCACAATTTCCATGTTTCGCATTTCAACAAAATAAGTCAAAAAATGGATAAAATAAAAAATTTAACAAAATCACTAAAAGAAAAAAGATGAATTAGGATTTCTATTATTCAACCATAAGATGACAAATTCATTACCTCATTTTTCAGTTTCACATCACTGCCATGGTCTATTAATTTCTCGACTACTTTGTAGTGATCAAATTGAATGGCATGGTTAAGTGCTCTATTCCCCAACTGAAAATAATATAATATAGTTGGAAAAATAAGAAGACAAGTAAGGCACAGAAATAATATTACTGAGAAATATTTTCCCTGAGACATGCTGGCCCAGAAAACATTAACTCCTGGAAGAAATGATTGTAGGTTGAAGTTCAACACAAAAACATGTTGCACAAAAACTTTACTAAAGATTGAGAGGAAATTGATAATATCACAAATCTCACCTCATCTTTCTTATCCAATATCTCATTTTTTATAGATTCATTTTGTAATATTCTGTTTATTTCATCAACTTTTCCACTCTTTGCATGTTGTATCAATTTCTCAAAAGCAGTGTCTGCCATCTTGAATTAACTTTCAATCACACCATATAACAAATCTAGAAAAACAAAAACAAAAATTAAAACTTTACATGGTTTTATTTTACTGATACCCACAACGATGGAACATTTAATACAATTACAACTATTCACAAAAAAAGGTTGTTTCCAAATCCATTAAACTACCATGGCATTGCAAATGGCAACAACATAGGCAAGATATTCTCCCCAAATGCAGATAAAAATTTATCTTATTTATTTAATTGGCAGACTATGTTAAATTAATAAATAATTGGGGAGGGGATGAGATGACATTGTACATTATCAAACCAGAGATAGCAAATAATGGTGTGATGTACTGATAACAAGTTTGGTTCATAAACTGACCTAAAACCTAAATTCAACTGAGACATATTAGACTAACATTTTAGATATACTGGAATAATTGAATGTCATACTTTGCTTCAATAATTAAATGTATAATTCTATAATTTCTTGGGTAATTTTGGATGAAATGGACAAAATTGCCTATTGACTGAGTGTCTTCATCTGTTGTGTTAGCTTTACTGTCGGGAAATATTCTTTATAATTAAGTGAATTATTTTAATTTAAATTTCATTTTCTGATTTCTTGCAAGAAGACTAAAGGCCATGAGAAAAACAAGTCACTCTTGATGACATAGTCCCTGTTGGTATTTGGTGAAATTAACATTGCGAACACAAAATGATGTCTATGTAACACAACTTTTAACAAAATCTATCTGAAAAACAGTTAAGGTGACATAAAAATAAAACCAACATGCCCCCCCCCCTAAATTGTACATATTATTCATACACCAGGCACACCAGAGGAATGATTAAGAGAAACTGACAGGTCTTTGTATCTAAAATTAGAGTAAAATTGAGGGTATTATAACATTTAGAGACAAGATAAACTATTGAGTGTATAGCATTTAGAGTTCAAATAGACTATCTATTGAGGGTATAACATTTAGAGTCCAAATAGACCATCTATTGAGGGTATATCATTTAGAGTCCAAATAGACCATCTATTGAGGGTATAGCATTTAGAGTAAAAAAGACTAGAGGTGAAATAGATTACACATGAGGTAACTAATAACCCTGTAGTGTCTTAACAAAAATAAGATTGATCACAATATACAAGTACAGAGCAAAGTTTGATCACGACTACAAAAGCTGAAAAAGGCATGGGTGGATTTGTTCATTAGTAACGCAAGGTTATTCCCCGTATTTTTCCCGTACAGATAAAACTTTGGCAATTATCCAAGAGTATATTTATAAGCCGTACCTGTTTGTATCTCACTAAATTATAACACCAACGATAATTACCTGTGTGGAATCAATATTTTATTGTTTTATTGACCACAAGTGTCAGAATAAAATACAATTTAATACCAAATACCTGCCTGGCCTTGAATATAAAAGATTGAATAATGGGTACAAAAGAGATAAGGATGTGTTCCCTCCCATGTAAATATTTATGAACATTTGTTTCTAACAGTGGCATTACTGTTACAATCTAAGACTGTGTAGCAGCCATGTTGTTAGACTTACTAAAATGGTACTGTTGCTACTTGTTTGTATCTCACTAACAATAAATATCTGTTATGAACAGTGGCCATGTTACCGATAATTGTTACTATCAGTAGCCATGTTGTTATGAACAGTGACCAAGTTGTTACTGACAGTGACCATGTTGTTATGAACAGTGGCCATATTGTTATGAACAGTGGCCATATTGTTATGAACAGTGACCATATTGTTATGAACATTGACCATATTGTTATGAACAGTGACCATATTGTTATGAACAGTGACCATATTGTTATGAACAGTGGCCACATTGTTATGAACAGTGACCATATTGTTATGAACAGTGACCATATTGTTATGAACAGTGACTATATTGTTATGAACAGTGGCCACATTGTTATGAACAGTGACCATATTGTTATGAACAGTGACTATATTGTTATGTGTTATGTGTAGCAGCCACGTTGTTAGACTTACTAAAATGGTACTGTTGCTACTTGTTTGTATCTCACTAACAATAAATATCTGTTATGAACAGTGGCCATGTTACCGATAATTGTTACTATCAGTAGCCATGTTGTTATGAACAGTGGCCATATTGTTATGAACAGTGGCCATATTGTTATGAACATTGACCATATTGTTATGAACATTGACCATATTGTTATGAACAGTGACCATATTGTTATGAACAGTGGCCACATTGTTATGAACAGTGACCATATTGTTATGAACAGTGACTATATTGTTATGAACAGTGGCCATGTTGTTACTGACAGTGACCATGTTGTTATGAACAGTGATCAAGTTGTTACTGACAGTGGCCATGTTGTTATGAACAGTGACCAAGTTGTTATGAACAGTGATCAAGTTGTTACTGACAGTGGCCATGTTGTTATGAACAGTGACCAAGTTGTTACTGACAGTGGCCATGTTGTTATGAACAGTGATCAAGTTGTTACTGACAGTGGCCATGTTGTTATGAACAGTGACCAAGTTGTTATGAACAGTAACCAAGTTGTTACTGACAGTGGCCATGTTGTTATGAACAGTGACCATGTTGTTATGAACAGTGACCAAGTTGTTACTGACAGTGGCCATGTTGTTATGAACAGTGGCCATGTTGTTATGAACAGTGACCAAGTTGTTATGAACAGTGACCAAGTTGTTACATGGAATACAATGTATATGGCTGCTAATGTCTTCATAAATCTAACCTGATATCCAGTCATGTACACAACCCATAGGAAAACAGCAACTGAGAGATACAACATAAAGTAACACCTGTAGTTTATGTTTTTTACTACCATCTCAGGATGTTAGTGGTTGTTATATTATCACCAACATGTGAGTGGGTTGCACTATTAATACTACAAGTATTACTCATAGGATACTCTCATCACTTAGTGGGATGGCCAACTATAAGGAAAGTTAACACAAGGGTCAGTGAATGAGTCATTAGAGAACTATTTTTACATTACAAACTTTTTATAACAAATTTGATTTTAGTTTTACTTAAATAGTCAATAATTGACTGAAACAAAGTGAAAATTAATTTAACATATAAAACTATTTTTTTAAAATTGTTGCTATGACAATAAAACAGCACAATTCCTCAAAAAAAATTGTATTTAAAAAATATACATTCATATCTTTTTCAATTGTTCAGTATGTTTTGTTTTTACATGTCACTAAAATGAAGTATATCATGATTTATCTCTCCAAATGATCACCAAATATAAAATGCACATTGTTAAATCTCATGAACAATGGTTATATTTAAATAAACTAAACAGGTGATTTAATTGTTTAACATTTTGATAGCAGTCAAAGATCACTAGTTGAACCTTAATCTATTATGTCCAACTAATAAGTACCGGTGGGTATCTTGGTGTACTATATAGCACAGTTCCTCAACACATGGTTGGGAAACGCCTTTGTTCTAAGATGTTAATCCCTCAATCGCTGGTAACAGTGCGGGTTATGCTTGTGGAGTGAAACCGATGACATCATAGCATCTTGGAGTCTTCCTAGATTTTAATTGTCTTCTGTTCTGCACCTGTGAATCTTTGCTATTTTATACAGCTTATTTAAAAATTATTCCAAGTTGCGCATGTATTTGCGTTCATAAAAAGTTCCCAACAAGGCATGTGTAATTTAAAAGATATATTCATTTAATTGACATAAAAAAATCAAGATTTCAATTTCAGACCGTCATAGCCAGGTGACGTAATATGGTGACGCTGTACAAAAAGTTTTCACCCTGTGAAAATGTGTTCCTACATGTATATCTAAAGCGATCACAATCATCATATTTTTGTAGTTTAATATTTAAATTGTTCCCCAAAATATATTATTTTGTGTAGAAGCAGCATTAAAGGGTTCATTTCAGTCGATTATTTTACCGTTAGTTTTGCCCCCCTGGATACTTGTATTCACACACGAAGCACCATGGTCGTTTAGTATCGCTCGAAGAAATCTACTATTCGAAGTTTTTTTTTTAATAATGACTAAAATTTTGAAGAGCCATTGATTTATATCTTAGAAATAACAGAATTATTTTGGTGTGGTCGGGTTCCGATATTCTTCTCAGAAAATGACTGTGAATTTAGAGCATACAAAATTTGTTCATGTTATATCAAGAAGGCGATTCCAACGACCTTAGTCGATGTTATAGAGTATCTGATCATAACAACCCTTCCAAACACACTTTTCTGACTTGAACTATTATTTTATTAATTTTAATGATAATAAAATTAATTTTATTAATATTTATATTAATTTGTATTAAGGTGGAAGTTCAAAAAAGTGCCCAATGCAGTTTTAATGGCCGTTCTGTTAATTTTTTATTTATTTCTTTTTTTCGATCAAACTTAGATCGTGTTTTAACACATAAATTACGTTCAATACGTTTTTTGCGGCCCTGACAGAATGAATGGTTGTGTTGATGTCTCAGTTGCCGTCGCTGTTGCCTTCTTTCATGCATTCAGCATAAACATACTCAGGTTTCTCTTATATTGTTCCAATCGATATCACTATTGTCGAAATCACAAAATCCTCATAGTTTTCCCACATTTCGATAAATAATGTACCGTCTCTTGCGTTATAGCAAAAATCAAAACAAAGTGTATATGGATTAACGAATAAACAATTTGACAAACGCAAAACACACATTGAGACAAAATAAGTATTAGCCTTTCCCAACCGGGTGTTGAGGGACTGTGTATATACATACATATGTTCTGAGACTAAACTGAAAACTGACATGGACATCAGAATCATATTTGTAGAAATCACAAAATTGCCTCAGTCACCTTTGAGTAGTAGGATATAGAAAATTATGTGTCCAAAATGGCTGCCAGTCGGCCATTCTTCCCTCATATCATTAAGTGACTAGTTGGGCATATGCATACTATTATGTACTGTCTTTGTGTGATGTGCGAAAAAGATCTGCATGCAGTATTTAGAACCTGGAACATAGATTATTATTTTTGTTTCATTTCCAGCGATTTGACCTCAGCCCTTACACAATACAAATAACTTAATTTTTAGGATATACAAGTGCTGGTACAGTACTAACAAAATACAAGTAATTAGAACCTGGAAGGTAGAATAATTATTATTTCATTTCCAGCGGTTTGACTTCAACCCATATACACTACAAATTTGTTTATTTCTTCAGGTTTTGTACAGTCAATACACTTCCTTGGGATTCACAACACATCACTGAAAAAACCACAGTATAGCAGTGGGGGTTGAAAATGTTCTCAATGTCCACCCACGTTAAATCATCGGTTGATCTGTTTCATGCCCTGTACCACACTCCAGATTTTCATCAGTTCTATTTTTAGTAAACATCTCATTATTATAACAAAGACTATTGTAAAATACTTTATTTCCGCTTAGAATTTATTTTCGCTATTTTCGCTGAAGGGATGATTCAGTGAAAATAAAATCCATACAAAACACCCAAAAAGAATTTTCAGCGAAAATTAATTGCAGTGAAAATAAAGTATTTTACAGTATTAGATTTAAGGTAATATCATATATTTGCTTATTTATCGGCTAGACCTAATTTTGTTCATGCATGGGAAAAACAGTGGTTAGCAAACCTGTTAAGAATATACAAATTTTCAGGATTTTCACTATGATTATACATGTAACAATGAAGTACAGTGGCCAGAAAGGTATACGTGTTAGTTCTATGGTTAGAAAACAACACCAAAGCAAATTAAGGGAGTACTACAGAGCCTCATCGTCAGTTCATTTTTTCTCAAGAATATCTTTTGATGTCATGTTGGAAATGGCATACCGAAGTGAATAGTTATGAATATATAGAGTAAATCTTGAATACAATAACATTTTGGGCACTTAACCAGAGCTAAGCGTTCATGCACACTTTGTTAGCCCATGCTAAGGATCTGGGCCGAGTCTTAAAAAAGATCAGAATAAATCCATACTTAATGTCAATTCCTTTCCACAAATATTTGTGAAGCCATTTTGGAATCCAGACAGCAACACCTTCAATAGACAGGTCTAGCAAACTCTTACCACTAGGCGCAAACTTAAATATTAAATAATAAATTATTTCAACCTTAGAGCTATTGACTACATGAAACAGTAGCATATGGTTTTGAATCCTCAATTTTAGATCAAATAAAACATAGTAACTTACCATTTTATTTCACTGACCGTGTGACTCTGTCCCAAAAATCCAAATTCCTGGTTCGTGGTGTAACTTGTATCTTTCAAAGTCCGAAATTGCTGCAGTGAAAAAAAGAACTCGACCACTTGAATCTCAACCAGACTCCTGAAGATCAGGCACACGACAGTTTAAATATCGCGAGATGATGATGAACGTGATAAGTGTAAGTTTTTAACCGTTCTTTTCGAGATCACAGCCCAAAATACGTCTAACTCGAAAAGAAAAACAACAGGTAGTAAAGGTAAGGCGTAACTGAGCGGGAATTTCCAAAATTCTGGGGGAATTCCCCTCGTTTTCGAGCCTCGGTTTTCATTGTAAAGCGCCACCAAACGTTTATCAAAAAAGATGTTTTCATGTTATGAGTAACATTTTGAAATTAATTTTTTTGTATTTACCATCGACACGTGTAAAAGTAATAGTATTCATAATAATGGCAAAAGAAGCCATTAATATACCTAGAGGTACAATACTGTGAATGCCTTTTACATGAATCAAACGAATCTTCGTAGGTCATAGGTCATTGTTAAATCAGTCTCCCTTTCATCCCACGTGACTAAAAGATAATATGGCGGAGACGTGCAGAAAGACGTTAATCATGTAAGATGTACTGTTCACATGAAGGTAAAGTTCGTATTATATGACATTATATAGTGAAATAATTGTTAGGAACATAGTAACATTGAAGTCAGTTCTTAGAATTTTCCTTTGTTTGGTTTTATTTTCATGTATAGCCAGCGAAGGCAAAATCAATAAAATCATAAACCCGACCCGACGGTGACCTGACCTTTCTCTGTCACATATTTTTAGTTACAAGTTTTTTATCATCACAGTCACTTGTATTGCAAAATATGACCAATTTACACGGAGCCGGTATATAATGCCTGTGTTTTAACAAGTGATCGGGGTAATCTCCAAGCTTTGATAAATAAATGTAATATTATCAATTGTATTTACATTTTGAAGACTCCAAATATGTAAATAACAAACTTAAGAATTCAGATAATTATTCTTTTTTATTTAATCACTTAACATATCCATTGGAATGCACAGAAAAAAACAACAATTAAAATTGAAAATGACAGAAAACCCAAGAATTTGGATGGTCACTCTATGTAACATTAGTGTCTAGGTAGCTGCAGTTCTGTAGCTCTGGATTTCGCTGGTGTCTGGTTTTCTGTTGCATCGATAGTCTGATTCGTTCGTCTATTGGTAATTGCGAAACCAGCAGCTAGTGTCAAGGAGGTGTTGCTATCTAGATTCAAAAAAGATTCGCAATATTGGCCTAAAGGAATCAACAGGGATTTATTGCTCAAAATAAATCTGAGTATTATATGTTTATTTTATTGAAATTTGTGGATATTTTCCATGCTTCTGTAAATAAAATGTTCTTGTATTGGTTATAGACATCACAAAATGTTGTTAATCTTTACTCTGTTTTGTGTTACTGAGGAGACAAAATGTACCCTAAGTCCCTTTCAATCGCTGGAAACTGAGTATGCTCCCTAGTTTCAATTGTCAGTAAATTATGAATTGCCTCTTTTCTTGTTTCATTGACTTCTCCAAGGCTTTTGATTTAGTTTGAGGGCCTGTTATTCAAACACTGCAACTAGGTTGGGGTAATTTTTATTAAGAATAGTATTAAATTAAAACAGGAGTGGTGTGAAACAGGGATTTAACCTCAGTCCTTGTCTATTTAACACTTGTCTAAATGACATCTACATCTAAACTTTATGACTAGGCTCAAAAAGCACAGTTTTCATATGTACAAAATGTAGTGGGATTGGAACGAATATTTTTCGGTTACCTTCTTAGCTAACAAGCTTTTTTTGATAAATTATTAGAAATTACTCAGTTGAGTTATACTGTCTTTAAAACTAATAATTTCAATGTTTTTTTCAGAGAAAAATTAGAAATGTTTACCAGAATAAGTAGCAAAAAATGTGCAGGGCAACAAAAAGACTTCTGCAAAGAATTAAAATTGATAAATATGTTTGTTTTTTAAAAACTAGGTATTACGCTTGCTATGCACATGTTTAAATAGCCTCTACTGGGTTTCAGTTGTCTAGAAATTAGCTTAGAATATTTTTTCATAATGGCAACTTATGTCATGTACATGCACAAAACGCCTAACAAGTGCCTATACTATATATGAAAGAGTGTAGTTTTGTCCCAAACCTGTTTCATCCCAGTGTTTCGTCCTAATACGGTTTTGGTCCCTATTGCAGTTGTGTCTCAACACTGTCTCGTTTATTGATTTGAAAACATATGCGCCAAATTAACAATTTCTATAGCATAGATGTCATCAGTGGACTTTCTGAGAACAGGACTAATTTTGTGGTATTGACCAGTGACCAACAAAATGTACAAGTGACAGTGGAATGACTAGAAAATTTACCAATTTTAATGTAGTAATTTTTCTAACATGCCAATGGTGGCATGTCAGGGTTCTTGATGCAGTAATTCTGTGAATATTTTGTGGGGTAACCATGATATAATTAATGTCAATAATATATCTCACTGAATATTCAAACAATAAGTATCCTACCAATCTACAGCAGAAAATGAGTATCGTCTGTCAACTTATTTGTGAATATTGACTGAGATGAAACATCAATTTGGGTAGGAACAGCTTTCTTGTTAAATTAAATAAATATGGCATCATAAGTGTCTTCATTTTTATGCCTTAAAAATGTCTAAAATCTGTGAGGTTTTAACAATTTTTGAATGAGGTCTTGAAAAGATCTGAAAAACCAGAAATCTCAGCAACTCATAATATTATTTAATCTCATAATTGGGTATTTGATTTGAAACTGCTAAAACTGTTTTTTCATTTTACCAGACTAATTATATCTGGCAGGCAGTGTCTGAAATTACAACCAATTCACAAAAAAATGTTACATTAGATGCACTAAATTATGCTACACTGATTTTGTTACATTTCTCATTTAAACCCAAATATCATTGAGCTTGAATACTTTGTTTCTAATACAGGAACTTCTTTGTGATTGCAGTCCACTTGTTGTGACTTTTATCTTTGTAGACAGTCTGTACATTCCATTAGTAAAGTCTTCTGTTTTCTATCACAGTCTCAGAGGTCTGATTATAAGAGAGTATGCCTGTAAGGAACATGTTAATAATTCCATTGAAATGCTAGGGCTTTGAATTCTTGTAAACCACTAAGTAATTATCTCATCTATTTGCACTGGTGTGCTCAGACTTGAATCAATTATATATTTTCGCCTCTATTTCAGTGAGTCTGAGTTATAAGGTTATATATATCAAATATCATGAATGGTTTGTAGAGCTTGAATTCAGCAAGGCTAGACATTTATCAATCTTATCAGTCTATCACAGTTTGTTTTAATTAACCAATTAGCCATATGTAAAGTGGTTCTTTCCTGCCAGTTTATTGTGCATAAGTGTTCTTTTTTAAATCAGATTTGACTTGAGTTGATGTCTTATTGTATGCTGCATCCTGTCTTAACAAGAACCTGCTGCCACACAAGGTGTACTTAGGGCAGTGCTTCATAAAATTCATCTTAGAAAGTTCAAACATTCTAGTCTTCTAGTCTTAGTGATCAGTCTGCAGCATGTACTATAAAGTACTTTATTTTAGCTGGAATTAATTTTCGCTGATTTTCTGGGTGTTCTGTATGGAATTTATTTTCATTGATTTATTGTAAAATATAGGAAAAAAGGTATATTCGCTGGATTTTATTTTCACTGAATCATTCCTTCAGCGAAAATAACAAAAATTAATTCCAAGCGAAAATAAAGTACTTTACAGTATATGTATATGGTGATCATGGTGGCTCGTCTCTGTATGGCATATTGGCTTCATAAGCACTAATGTATACAATGGATGTTACCCTTATGTAACTACTTGAATGAAAAAAGAATAAACCACACACCATTGGAGAGAAATGAGCAAATTCAGACTTATTTGGTGTTGAATGGGTCAAGTAGTTGTTACTTTATGATTACCTAGTTCATGTATATGAATGATTATTCTTAATCATTTATGATTTCATGATTTCTTGAAATTTCCATAGTGAGCTTAAAAAAACATTAAAGGTCAGTGCACTGTGACGTCATTTTTTCCAACCAGCATGCACTTGTCTGACAAAAAATGGCATATACATGTAGCTCACAATGTGCTGTGACAGATTGTGCCTAAATTATATTTGCAGCAGAGGACAACATCATTTTATCTTCAGATCTGAACAGTGGTTATTGAATGTATGAATGGTTTGTACATGTATACGTACAAAACATAATCAAGTACATATCACTTACTGACAGCAACTTGTGTAAGAATTAATAATTATGTTATAATAATAATTATTTTTTTCAGGTATGTGTTCAGTAACCTGTTGAATTGAATTCCACTATGGGTCACCTTACCACTGGTCATTATATTGCATTGGCAATCACACTACCTACTGCTGTGGCATTACTTTACCTGCTGTATAAAAGACATGAAGAAGGTATGTTCAAATCAAGAACTACAAACTTACTAAAATGAAATCAATATTCAGGGCTCTGAAATTAAGTTTAGTCTGCCTGGCTTCCAGTTTTAATAAAGCTGGTGATCCAATTTATTTGTTTGTTTGTTTTTAATAGTCTGCAGCATTTCCATTTCGATTTGACAATTTTTCATTTTTAAATTCAAACTCTTCTAAATTGTGAAACGTAATATTTTGACTCCAATAGAAAAAATATTTGCACTGTGACTGAGCTCATTAATATCCCAAAAGAATAGTGTTTATAACACTGTATGAAACAAATAAATATGTGCCACATTGTTTTTGAAAATATATGTTATGTGGATGTAAATATGCTTTGGTCAATCTCTATTATTATGTAAATGATATGCAAATGATATGCAAATTAGTCCGCCACAGTGGTTTATATTCCTGGGGAGAACACTGTATACTATACTTTGGATGTTCTGTATGGAATTTATTGACACTGAGTTAAATATAAAATATGAGGGAAAAAGTTATATTTGCTCTATCATCCCTTTAGTGAAAATAAATTCAAAGCGAAAATAAAGTATTATACAGGAATTCATAACACTGAATAATCTTTAAAAAACAAAAACCCAAACTCTTAGATGCGAGTGGTGAGCTCTTTCTCTCTGGTGGGCAATCATATTTCAATATTCTATACTTTAGCTAGACTTCTGCAGGGTTCAAAATTTGCAGATGTCCTGAACAACCACTTTTGTAATAAGGCAACAAAATATGAAAAATGGTTACCCATTTTGGACAACCA